CATACTTTGGTCATTTTGTAAGGAGACTGTTCCTTGGAGAGGGACATCATGCTTGGGAAGGTGGAGGGCAGGAGCAGGAGGGGAAAGGCCCTCTGGGAGATGGATTGATTCAGTGACTGGGGCAATCAGGATGAGTGTGTCGGAGGCAATGAGATTGGCACAGGACAGAGCAGAGTTTAGAATTATTTTATATAGGGTCGCTATGAGTTGCAAGCGACTTGACGGCACATAACAACAACAACAATATATCACAATTATAAGTAGAAGTCAAATTACACAAAACATAAAATCAATTAAAATCAGAAAGGGTATTAACACTCTGGAAAGAGCTACACAGTGCTATTAGCAATTAGCACATTATTTTCAGACACCGTTTTGCTAAAGGACCAACTGTGGCCTAGAAGTCAGCAAGGCAAAGCCAGGTTAAGGTGTTTCTTCCCAAGACCAGCGGGGGCAGCAGAGGGCAGGGGCTAGGGAAGGGGGGACAGTATTCCTGCTGCACTTTGAACAAGGAAACCCCACTACAAAAAGTACAAGTCAAAGTTTTTAGATTAGGCATGGAGGCTGGAGAGCAGTGCATCTACCACACAGTCCCCAAACTGAGCAGTGACCCCAGCTGACCTGGGGCACATGAGCCCTGCTACTGACACATTTAGAAATCTGCCAGGTGCACCATTTAGTGTGCAACCAGGATTCATAATTAAAGACATGTGAGTTGGAGAGTGTGGGAAATGTGGCCAGGGAGAAAAACAAGAGTTAAACTGCAGCACAATGCTGGTGGAGGGACACCGAGCTGGAATCCACATTGTTAATATCGTTAAGGATACTAAGGGTAGTAAAATAATAGATGATATCTATCAAATCTTAATTACAGAGATGATCAGCTGTGCATCATCCTGTAGCATGCTAAGCAATTTTTTTTTGTTTTAGCAATTTTCTTAAAGGTTGTCTGCAGCAGAAAAGGAGAACAAACGTGGAATGCAAAGTCAACAGCTTAGACATAGATGTAAAAATAAAAAGGTATATATTAGGTATGCATAGCCATTCTTTTATTGCCTCTGGTTATTTTTGTTAGAAATTGGGCTGTTAACTGAAAAATTAGCTCTTCTGATACACCTGCCGCTCTGAGGGCAGAAGATGGGCAGTCTCCCTTCCCTTAAGGTTTATAGACTCAGAAAACAGATTAAGGGTTTCCACTGCTCAGAAAAAATTGTGAAATCACTCTGACCTCACTATACAAAGTGATACAATGTAAACTCAAGACTCTTTCCAACATTCTTACTTCCCATTTGCTTGTGAACAAACACTTTAAGCTTTCAATGGGTCCTATCATTCTTAACTATAAGCAAACCCCCCCTTTTTTATACTTTCTTCTCTTTTTCTGTATACAGTCCTATCAGATTGAATCGGATCTGACTGGCACAGGAGAGTGCCCTACATTCTCTAGCACAACGTCTGGATTTGAACCACATACCTTCAGAACTGCAGTGCAGCTTCTTGCCACTAGGCCAACAGAGTTCCCTTGTTAACCCCCCTTTTTTGTCAAGTATGACTCAGAGACCCTTATCAGGTTTCCAAGGCTGTAAATCCTCACAATCTAGTGATGCAATCCATAGGGCGTTCCACTGTCAACTCAAAGATGGTACTTTTTTAAGGGTTCAAATTCACTAGCTATTCCACGGAAGATGAGCAATCTCCTCCAATACGATGTCCTGCCTCCTGAAAACTCATACTGCAGGGCAAGTTATGAGTCAGTTCCAAAATCGATAGCAGTGAGTTAAGCTGAACTCCACAGTAATGAATTATGCTGGACTCTTAACAGGATGATGTGGATTAGAACTGCTGAGGTTTAGCAGCACAACACATAAAGCACTACGCCACCAGAGATTCTTACTAAGAGATGCACACTCTTAAATAAGAATTGGAGGTTCTGTCCCAGCTCCCCCAGAGGCACTCAGCTTCTACACTTGGGCGGTTCTCACAGTTGGCTGGCTCTCCCACTCCACACATTCTCCAAGGACATTAATAGAAATATGTCCTGGGCCAGCACCTGTCAGGCTGTGGTCCTAAAATCACCAGAGGCTTCTAAAAGAGCACCTTGCTAAAAGGGGTTCCCAGCAAAGGGCGTGGCCCTTTCCTACTTTCAATGTTGCCAGTCCTTTCCATTTTGTACCACCCCATCTCCACCCAGTATGTATTCTTTGCACTATTCTTGTAATAATATATTTGGACTTGCTGCTGCAAGCAATTCCTCCCCTCAAATCTTTCAGTTCCCCTCCAGGAAAACTCTCTATAAGGTTCAAGGAGCTGTGAGCCACTGTTTTCCCCCTCCCCGGCTGATGCAGCAAAGAAATGAAAAGTGACAGACAACCAGTTTGTTTTGGTGTTTTTTTAAAATCACTGTATTTTTTTTTCTTTTTTACAATTTAAAACAGAGTCCCTGTCTAATTGTGGTCAAGTCATATAGCGTGTATATTTCTTTTAATTTGGCTTCCCTCAGGGGCCAGCTGGCAGAAGGTAACTGCAGTGTCTACAACAGGAGGGCCTCCTCTCAGGAGACTCAGGTGACAGGGAGACCTTGAGGATGACCTCGGGGGCACCTACTACTGTCCTTTCTCCTGTTAGTTGATACACTTCTTTCATCATTTCTGATAGAGGTGGTTTCAATGTACTTAAGAATTTTGGGATGCAGGGTAACAAGCAGGGGAAGGAGCATCCAAGAGCAATCTATAAATTTGAGTCCTCTGCCCCACTCTAGCTTCCTCAACTGGGTATGGGGGTGGGAGTGGGGTTGATTTGAGGGTCTGAATCCGGGTTCCCTTGCCAAGCTCTGCTGGGTAACTTGAAGTAGTGGGCCATTCTCACATTCGGGAGTCATCCAGGAGGACTCTGGGAAGGGAATGTGAGGTGCTGGAGGAATCCCGAGGCTCCCCATCCATGCATGCAGGGCTCCAGGTCCTTTTAACCGCAATACTGCATGGAGAGCGCTATGGGTGATTTAACTCCCTCAACTCTCCGATCCACGCTCCACCCGCCTCCCTCCCAACAAGGCTCCACTAACTGAAGAAGATTCACATTTCACCAGATTTACACTTTATTTTACAGATTTACCCTCTTTCTATGACCTTCCTTAGCCGGCCGATCTCTGACTCTCAAATCTTAGCTGCTGGTCCCGCAGGAGCCCGAAAACTCCGCATCCCTGTCCCTGCCCCCTCCCAAGGCCCCTCGCTCACCGTCTCTGGGTTGTTCTCAAACACCTCCCGGGCCTCCTCCTTGTTGCACAGCTCTTCAATGCACTCCCTCTCCAGGTGACCCTGTTTAGCTTCCTCGAAGACCTGGTAGGCTCGGCGCTGCCTCGGCCGCAGGAACTGAGCTGCCTCACGCGCCCGCAGCAGCACGGCTGCCCCGCGACCGGCGCGGGAGCGGAGGGGAGCAGGGAGCGCGCAGCGACGGAGACGGACAGGAGGCCAGGCGACAGGCAGGGAAGAGAGCGGAGAACACGGCCGTCAGCGCGGGGTCCGAGCGCCGAACGCCCCGCACACCCCACTGCGGGCACCGGCCCCCGTGCCCTTGACCCCAGGTTGATGCGGCGGGGTGCGCGCCGCAGCCTCAGCTCACGCGGCTGCCGCAGGGCGGGCTCGCGAGCACCGGCGAGCGCGTGGCTCCCCCTGCGGCGTGTGTGGGGTTTCGGGAGAGTGGGGGTGCTAAGAGGATGGGGTGGTCTCCGATCCGGCCCGGGCAGGGAGTGGAGCGGGGGCGGCGGGGTCGCGCCAGGCTGTACTCACTGTGCGAGGACTCGGTGGCCAGCAGGAGCAGCAGCAGCGCGGTGCCCAGGGCGGCGGCGGGGCCAGGCTGCGG